AATGCCTGTCCATGGATTTACACAGGTGCCAGTGTCTCTACATGTGTCTACACGTCTGTACATGTGTCTTCACGCATGTCAACATGTGTACACACATTTCCACATGTGTTGCTCTCTATGTGTGCATTTCCACACATGTCAGCACCCGCACACACCTGCAACACGCGTGTGCATGCAAGCCACGATGGGATGAGAGGTTTTTTCACATCGGGGGCTGCATTTGGACCCCTCCATGCTCACAGCCACTTGTGCAACCCTTTGCACATGCGTGTGTGACACCGCAGTTGGCGTGTTGGGGCACACTGGTCACGCCAAGATCATGGGTTAATCATCACCCGTCCCTGCCTGGGGTAAAGGTCCTTTTATGTCCTTTTCTGTTGTATTTTTTTAGGGGAAAGACATTAAAGAAAATAAATTGGGGTGGGGGGAATGGGACCCTCAGGGTATGTGGCTGGTGGAGGTCAGAGTGCGTCTTGGGGTGCTGGGGGGGCACTCATGGGGGATGCTCTGGGGTCATCTGGGAGCTCTTTCTGGGGGGCATTGGGTGCCCAGGTGGGGTCTTTGGGTGCCCATCCATGATGTCTGGGGTGCCCGACTGATTGGGGTGCCCATCTGGGGTCCTTTGAGTGCCCGTTTCACATTTTTGGGGTCCCTACCCAATCAAGGTGTGCATTGGGTGCCCCTTTGGGATGGTTGGTGTCCCTACCTGATGAAGGGGTGCATTGCACGCCTGTTTGGGGTTCTTGGGGTACCCATTTGGGATGATTTGGGTCCTTACCTCATCGAGGGGTGCATTGGGTGCCCATTTGGGGTTCTTGGGGCACCCATCTATGATGCTTAGGGTGCCCACCCAATTGAGGTCCCTACTTGAGGTGCATTGGGTGCCCATGTGGGATCTTTGGGGCACTCATCCATGATGTCTGGGGTGTCCATCTCATTGGGGTGCACATTTGAAGTCCTTTGGGTGCCCCTTTGGGATGGTTGGTGTCCCTACCCAATCAAGGGGTGCATTGGGTGCCCATTTGGGGTCCTTTGGGTGCCCATTTGGGACAACTGGGGTCCCTACCCAATCAAGGGGTGCATTGGGTACCCATCTGAGATCTTTGGAGCACCCATCCATGATGTCTGGGGTGTCCATCTCATTGGGGTGCCCATTTGGGGTTCTTTGGGGTCCCTACCTGATCAGGGGTGCATTGGGAGCCCATCTGAGATCTTTGGAGCACCCATCCATGATGTGTGGGGTGTCTACCACATTGGGCCACCCATTTGGTTTGTGTTGGGTGCCCACCCTTGACCTTTTGGGTTCCCCTCCTTGGACTCTCACCCACCTGGGACCCCCTCACCCAACACTGGGCCCATGTCCCCCTGTCCCCCCCAGATCTCCAGGCCGCGGTGGAGGAGGTGCTCCCATCCCTGCAGAGCGATGGCGTCCGCGTCTTCTACCTGAGCTCCACGTCGCCCACGCCGGGTGTCGAGGCCCTGTTGCCCGCCATCAAGGGGGCTTCCCATGAGCCTCTGCCCGCCCACCACCGCGGCAATGTCACCATCGACTCCAAGGCCCTCTATATCTACACCTCGGGCACCACCGGTGAGGCTGCGGGGACAGAAACCCCCAAGGAAGGAGGGTCTTCTCCTTGGAGAAGGGGTTTTGAGGAGCCAATGGAGGTTGACCTCCATGGGGTGGGTGATTTTGGGAAGGTTAGAGGGGTCTCGTGGAGGTTTTTCTCCAACCCTGACCATTGTGGGGCCACCTGGGCCAGGGTCCTCCTGGTTGTGTCCATGTGAGGGTTGGGTATCGCCAAGGATGGAGAGAGAGCCACCACGTCCATGGGCCTGTCCTTGTTGGAACCCAAGGGGGTTGGGCCTCCCTCATCCAACCTAATGGGGTGAGGTGGGACCACCCTCATCCAACCCAATGAGATGGGACCACCCTCATATCCAACCCAATAGGGTGGGACCTCCCTCATATCCAACCCAATGGGATGGGACCTTCTTCATCCAACACAATGAGGTGGGACCTCTAATCCAACCCAATGGGATGGGACCTCTCTCATCCAAGACAATGGGGTGGGACCTCCTTCATCCAAGCCAATGGGGTGGGACCATCCTCATCCAACCCAGTGGGATGGGACCTCTCTCATCCAAGCCAATGGGGTGGGACCTCCTTCATCCAACCCTGGCCCCAAACCAGATCCCACCCCAATCCACACAGGTGCATCTGGTTGAGGTTCATCATTGGCTTCTCCCAGTGAGGTCTGGAAATCTCTAGGGATGGAAATCCACCACATCCAGGGGTCTGTCCTCATTGGGATGGGGTGAGACCTCTCTCATCCAGCCCAATGGGATGGGACCTTCCTCATCCAACCCTGAACCCAAAGCAGATCCCACCCCAACCAACACGGGTGCATCTGGTTGAGGTTCCTCACTGGTTCCCCACAGTGAGGGCTGAAGACCTCAATGCATGGAGAGTCACCATGTCCATGGGTCCATCCTCACTGGGACCTCCCTCATCCAACTCAATGGGATGGTACCACCCTCATCCAACCTTGACCCCAAACCTGAGAGAAGGGTTTTTGTCCTCCCACCCCACACGGGCACCTCCAAGGAGGACATTTCCCACCCTCTGTTCCCATCCACCCAGGCCTCCCCAAGGCAGCGGTGATCACAGAGATGAAGCTGATGATGGTGGCAAACCTAGGCCGGCTCTGTGGCCTGCGGACTGATGACATCATCTACACAACGCTGCCGCTCTACCACTCAGCTGGGCTGCTCATCGGGGTAGGAGGGTGCTTCGAGGTCGGTATGTACCCCCACGGTCAGCACAGGGATGGGGTGCGGGCATGGATGGGCGGGAGATGGATGGATGGAGATGTTTTTATAGATGGATGTTTTAAGGAGATGGACAGACGGACTTTTATGGAGATGGACAGATGAGGGATGGACAGACTTTTTCTGGAGATGGACCAAAGGATGATGGGAAAATGTGAAGATGGAGGGGAAATATAGGACAGAAAAGTGAAAAGGAGCAGGATCTCGATAGCGATAAATGGATTAACGGTGGGATGGACAGATGAAGAAAAAGGATGAGTGGAAAGGGGGGGGGGCAGTAATGGTCACCCCAGTGCGTCCCCACAGGAGCCACCTGCGTCATACGGGCCAAGTTCTCCGCCTCCAATTTCTGGGATGACTGCCGCCGCTACAACGTCTCAGTCATCCAATATGTGGGCGAGCTGATGCGCTACCTCTGCAACGCGCCCAAGGTAACGTCCCCACCAGCCCAGAATCAGTGGAAGGCAACGCCGTGGGGCGCACCCTGATGTGGTCCCTCCCTTTGTCACCCCACAGCGCCCCAACGACCGGCAGCACGGGGTGCGCATGGCCTTGGGTAATGGCCTACGGGCGGAGGTGTGGAAGGAGTTTCTCCAGCGCTTCGGACCCATCTCCATCTGGGAGTTTTACGGGGCCACTGAGGGCAACGCCGGCTTCATCAACTACACCGGCAAGATCGGGGCAGTGGGAAGAGCCAACGTCTTCCTCAAGGTGAGCCAATATGCTCCTCAAGGTGAGATGTGGGTGATGATGATGGTGGGGAGACCAGTTCTGCACTTCAAGTTGGGTTGGCATCAAGAGTGGGGGTCTCCAGGTCACCCTCCTTCATGGTGGGGCAAATAGTGACCTCCTCAGGGAAGCCAATGCTTGTCCATCAAGTTGGGTTGACATCAAGAGTGGGCGTCTCCAGGTCACCCTCTTTATGGGGGTCCAAGTGGTGACGTCCCTGGCAAAGCCACCACTTGTCCATCAAATTGGGTTGATACAAAAGCAGGATCTCCAAGATCTCATCTTCATACCCAAAAGGAGCCCCTCCACTTGGTTGGCCAACACTGCCTCAACAAAGTCTGGTTTTGGAGTGTCCACAGTGACCTGGACATCTCTACAGCCCCAAGAAAGGCCACTTTGGTGTCACTTCTCCATCCCCAACCACTGGAAGGAGTCTTCTTCTCTTAGTCCTGTGTTCCTCTTCCACCTTCTAGAGGTTTGCTCACTTTGAGCTCATCAAGTACAACGTGGAGGACGACGAACCCGTCCGTGACGAGCGAGGTCTCTGCATCCGAGTAGGTCCCGGTAAGAGTTGTCCTACAGGGGCCTTTTTGGGGTGAAAGGGGGGCAGACAGAGGGTTGAGATACATCAAAGCCATCTCTTGGTGCTTATCACCACCATCTCAGTCCTCATCACCATCATCTCGGTGGATGACGCCACCAGAAACCCCTCAAAGATGCCATCCCCAAGCACCCGGTGGGGCACGGAGCTGACATTCCCCACCACCGAGGCACTTTGGTGGCCTCCAACCCTCCTTCTCCACCCCCAAAAAAGGTGAGACGGGGCTGCTGGTTGTCAAAATCACCAAGAACACCCCTTTCCATGGCTACGCGGGCGACTCCCAGAAGACAGAGAAGAAAGTCTTGAGGAACGTCTTGGCCAAAGGCGATGCCTTCTTCAACAGCGGTGACCTCCTGATGATTGACCACGAACGATTTGTCTACTTTCAGGACCGAGTGGGAGATACTTTCCGGTAACTCCGATGCTCTTATGCCCATGTCTGCGTGGACATCACCACCACCCCAAATCTTTCCCCTGCCCCCATCCTTCACAGCTTCATCCCTTCTCTTCCTCAGTTGGAAAGGTGAGAATGTGGCCACTACGGAGGTGGAGGCCACCCTTGCCATGGTGGACTTCATCCAGGAGGTCAATGTCTATGGAGTCTCTGTGCCGGGTGAGTATAGGGTGGGGGTGAACTGACCCAAAATAAGGATCTGGTGATGCTTCAGCCATGGGATAGGTCCCCAAAAAAAGGTCTGAGTGGCCACCAAGAAGCCTAAAGTAGAAGAAAATGGAAGGGACCTACAATGATCATCGAGTCCTGGCCATTTCAGGACTCATTGATAGAAAAATAAAGAGTCTGGTATCATTTTGGGGTCATGATTGGACCAAGAAGAGTCGAATAGCATCTGGGTTGCCCAAAATAAACATCTAGTGATGTTTGGGACAAGGAACATGTCCATGTCGTGGTCCAGCTGGCCACCAAGAAGGCTTAAGTAGAACTTACTACCCAAAAGGAGACCCAAAACGACTTTTTAAGTACCCACTGACCCAAAATTAGTTCCTGGCATTGCTTTGGCACACAACGGGCTCCTGTAAAGGTCAAAGTGGCCACCAGGAAGGTTAAAGGCGGACCTGGTTGCCCAAATCAAGCGTCCAGCGTTGTTCTGGGCATGCAACACGCCCCTGTAGTGGTCCAAGTAGCCACCAAGAAGAGTAAAATGGGACTTGGTTGCCCAAAAGCAGCGTCTGGTGGCATTTTGGGCAACAGATGTGTCTCTGTGATGGTCCACGTGGCCATGAAGAAGGTGAAAATGGGAAATGTTCATCCAAAATAATCATCCAGCATTGTTTTGGATACATGATGGGCCTGCAAGAAGGCCAAATTGGGGTGCATCCACCCAAAATCAGTGTTCATCATTGCTTTGAACATGCAACAAGACTCCCAAGTGGTTCAAGTGGCCACCAAGAAAAAGAAAACGAGACTCAGTTGCCCAAAATAACCCTCTGGTATCGTTCGCAGGGTGCGAGGGGAGGTGCGGCATGGCCGCCATCCGCCTGAAGGCCGGGGCAAGCTTCGAGGGGGACAAATTCTACGCCTTCACTGGGGACACCCTGCCCAGCTACGCCGCTCCTCGCTTTGTGCGGATCCAGGTCAGGCTTCATTTGGGGGGGCTTTTGGGGGACTTATTTTTGGGTCATTCTCTGCCAAATCAGGCGATCCGGCAGTGCCTGTTTCCAGTTACAGTGGTGGTGTCCTCCCCAGTTTCCGATGACGGTGGCAGTAGCGGCGATGGGGTCCCCTTGGTGACTGTGGCAGGGTCCCTCTACCGTTGATGGCACCGTCCATATCTGGAAATGGTGATGGGCACCCATGACATTGGGGTCACCACGTGATGGTGATGGCGTTGGTCCATCTTCCCCATGGTGGCATCGAGGCCCCTCCGTTCCCATGACAGCGTTGGTCACCCTGAGCCAATGGGGGTCAACCCGGGCCAATGGGAGGTCGGCCTCAGGCAACAGGAGATCAATCTATGCCAATGGGTGGTCAACCTCAGCCAATGGGAGGTCAATCCATGGCAATGGGGGGTTGCCCTAAGCCAATGGGAGGTCAACTTCAGCCAATGGGTGGTCAACCTGAGTCAATGAGTGGCCTGTGGCAATGGCTGGTCAACCTGAGCCAATGGGTGGTCACCTTGAGCCTATGGGTGGTCAATCTCAGCCAACAGGAGGTCAACCTTGGCCAACGGGTGGCCTATGGCAATGAGTGGTCGACCTAAGCCAATGGGTGGTCAACCTATGGCAATGGGTGGTCAACTTCACCCAATGGGTGGTCACCCTGAGCCAACGGGTGGTCAACCTGACCCAACAGGTGGTCAACCTCACCAATGGGTGGTCACCTTGAGCCAATAGGTGGTCACCCTGAGGCAATGGGTGGTCAACTTCACCCAATGGGTGGTCTATGCCAATAGGTGGTCAACCGGTCCCAATGGGTGGTCTATGCCAATGGGTGGTCAACCTCGGCCAATGGGAGGTCAACCTCACCAATGGGTGGTCACCCTCAGGCAACGGGTGGTCTATGGCAATGGGTGGTTGCCCTGAGCCAATGGGACGTCAGCTTCAGGCAATGGCAGGTCAACCTCAGCCAATGGGTGATCACTTTCACCCAACAGGGGTCTATGCCAATGGGTGGTCAACCTCAGCCAACAGGTGCTCAACCTGGGCCAATGGGAGGTTAACCTGGGCCAACAGGAGGTCAACCAGGACCAATGGGTGGTCAACCTCACCCAAAGGGTGGTCTATGCCAATGGGAGGTCACCCTCAGCCAATGGGGAGGGGTCACCCTGAGCCTACAGGTGGTCAACCTGGGCCAATAGGTGGTCAACTTCACCCAAAGAGTGGTCTATGCCAATGGGTGGTCACCCTGAGCCAATGGGTGGTCAACCTCAGCCAATGGGAGATCAACCTGAGCCAACGGAGCATCAACCCAAGCCAATGGGAGGTCAACATGGGACAACATCACATGAGTTCCCCTAATTCCAATGACCCTACCCATGCCGATGCCACAGGGGTCACCATTTTCAATGACGGCACCTGGATCCCCCCAGTACCGATGCCACCGTTGGTGTCCCCCATTTCCAATGATGGCGCCGATCGCCGTTCCTGATGCTGTCTCCATCATCTCCACAGGACGCCCTGGAGATCACAGGGACCTTCAAGCAGTGCAAGAGCAACCTGGTCAAGGAAGGCTTCGACCTCAACGTCATCAAAGACCCCCTCTTCTTCCGCGACGACAAGAAGAAGTCCTACGTCCCCTTGAGCCCCGACACCTACGCTGCCATCCAGGCCATGAAGCTCAGCCTCTAGAAGATAACACACCACGCCAGGATCTCCAAAACGGCACCAATCTGGGGCTAAATCAGGCGGTTTTCACTTCCTTCAGAGATTTTAACAATGACGGGCTGGTCTTGGCGCTTGCTATCCTGCCCCAGCTGCAGAAATTAAAGGCTTAATTCCTGTTATTTGGCTCCATGAGGGTAATTTTTGGGTGCTGACCCCCTCGTTTTTCCTGCTGGGGGGTCCCAAATGGTGCCCCAAATCCTCCTCGTTGTTGGGAAGTGATGATTTCCTCAACGCTGGCCTCTTGCTGGAGATTGATGGGGTCCCAAAACCCTTTCCTCTTCCCGCGCAGGGCACGTTGAGGTGCTTAAATTCACCAATTTGCACCGAAATCCATTTATTTCTCCCCAGTCCAGCTGTTTTCTGCCCAATCAGTGACCGAAATCGGTTCAGGAAAGCAGCCCTGGGCTCCCCCAAATATTTCAGACCCCTATGACGGACACCAAACCCCCAATGGCATCGCCTTCTTCCCAGCACTCATTCACCCAAAACCAGCCCCAATTTCTCCCCATGGCCACTTTTTGCCACGTTTCTGAGCAAAATCACCCTGGGGACACCACCGTGGCTCCCCCCTTCCCCAAAATATCAGCGAACCTCCCCCTGCTTTTTTTCCTAAAAAAGGCAGAATCTTTATTTACAAACCTTCCCAGCAGCACCGAGGAGGTGAAAAGCGCCCCCATAAACCTTCATTCACTGTCGCCGTTGAGCGGCTGGAGCTCTGCAACCCGAGGTGGCGGCGGGGTTTCTTTGGGAGGAGGGCGGCGAATTTCGGGGGGGATCCTCCGTTCCCGTTGCAGCTCTCCGATGCGGAGCCGGAGCCGTTGCTCGCGGCGTTTGCAAGCTTGCAGCTGCCGTTGGGTTTTGTCCAGGGCGTCCAAAGCGGCTTCGGCGCGACGTTTCCAAAGCAAAGCGCTCCCCACTTGGTAACTGTGCTCGTTTTGGATGT